TCATGGGCTACTGAGTTTGAGCTTTTGAGTCGCTGATGGGCTTTGTTTTTGATATTTCCCTCTTACAGATTTGTACGCAGGAAATCTGTCCCATCTCCCCAAATCCTAACACCACAACTTCCCCACACCTCTGTCTTTGTGGTGGTTGGTTAAGATTGTGAACTCTAAATCCTGTTTGTACCACATATTCACTTGTGAGTGTCAGCAGCTTTCTTAACCTCTCTGTGCCTCAGTTTTATCATCTGTAAAAGGGGAATTCATAATGACAATAACCCCCTTCACCTTGTCCAGATATCTTTGTTCACTTTCATTTTCTTGGTATTAAACACAAGGTTTTATTTATTTGTTTATTTTAGAGACAGGATCTCTCTGTTGCCTAGGCTGGAGTGCAGTGGTGCAATCATAGCTCACTGCAGCCTTGAACTCCTGGGCTCAAGCTATCCTCCTGCCTCAGCCTCCTGAGTAGCTGAGACTACAGGGGTGTGCTAACATACTTTACAAATTTTTAATTTTTTTGTAGAGGCAGGGTCTTGCTATGTTGCCAGGCTGGTCTCAGACGTCTAGCCTCAAACTTCCTGCCTCAGCCTTCCAAAGTGCTGGGATTACAGGTGTGGCCAAGGATTTAAATTCAATGTATTTTACACTGATTTTCTTTTTCTGTCTTGAGAATACATTGTATGAGAAATGTACACTTTTGTTTTTGCTTTTCCAAAGAAAATCAAAGATACCATACTCGAGACTTAGAAAAGCAACGTTGTTAGGAGGTTGTAATTTCAGCCCTTGAGTAGGTATGAAGATCGAAGTTCTGTTGCTGAGTTTGTGATGCGCTAGATGTCATGATGCTGGGTTCTCACTCCTGTCTCGTCTGATGTGATCCACCTATTCCTGTCCTTGTTCTGGCATGACTTAAGGATTAAATGGTCCTATTATTAATTATAGTTACTGATTCTCCTGCTCTTATGTTATACATAAGGGTTTTAAAAATCCTTTTAATTATGGTAAAATACACATACAAAATTTAGTATCTTAATCATTTTAAAGCATATAGTTCAGTGATGCATTCACATGGTTATGTGACCATCACTACCATCTACCTCCAGAACTCTTTATTTTGCAAAACTGACACTCTGTCTCATTAAATAGTGACTCCCCATTCCCTCTCCATCCAAACCCTGGCAGCCACCATTCTACTGTTTCTATGCATTTGAGGACTCTAGGTACCTCATATAAGTGAAATCATAACATCATTGCCCTTTTTGTGATTGGGCTATTTCAATTAGCATAATGCCTTCAAGGGTCATCCATGTTATAGCATGTGTCAGAATTTTCTTCTTTTTTAAGGCTGAATAATATTCCATTGTAAATATACCACAGTTTGATTATCTAGTCATCTGTCCATGGACACTTGGGGTGCTTCCACCTCTTGGATATTAGGAGTAATGCTGCTGTGAGCATGAGTGTACAAATGCCTCTTTGAGATCCTTCTTCCAATTCCTTTGGATATATGTCTAGAAGTGGAATTATGAATCCTATGGTAATTCTATGTTTAATTTTTTGAGGAACCACCATACTGTTTTCCACGGTGGCTGTGCCACTTTACATTCCCACCAACTACATACATTGCTTGAAAAGATGACAGTGTAATTCAGTTAGCAATTTTAGACTCTTTTTAAAGTGAAATTCCTTGACCAGAAACCTCAAAAACATATTGACTGTCCATATGGAAATAGTGTTAAAGATGTGGAAATCTTAAACAGATGGCAATGGCAATGGATCTAAACTCCCCAGCATTTACTCAGTTGATTCAATGCTACCAGGTCTAGTGTATAGAGACTATCTGCAGGTCTACACAAGGATATAGAAGAGACATTTTGCTTTCTAGAACATTCTGTACTGTTTTTCAGTTATTTGGCTTTCAGTCCTCAAGCACTTCAGATGAGCCGCAAGGGCAAACTTGCAGGAAAAAAGTTATGGAAAAATCAGTAAAAGACATATTTGATCAGATATATCATAGTCAGATACATCTGGTGCTTCCTCCAGCAAAGGCAAAAATACGGGAAGTAAATACCAGTGTTGATTTAATCAGAAACTAGAACAGATCTTAAGATGAAAAATATGCACAATCAATATTTGCTGAATGAATGTTAATGAATCAATAAAACAATTTTTGCTAAATTCAAAACAAACACGAATAATATTGTTATCCTACAAAGAAGGTATTCCTTCTTATTTAAAAAGTTTCGTGATTTACGTACAAAAAGATTTGGTCTAAAGAATAGCTTCATTAAGACATAAAGCATGAAAATTCTGACCAAAACTAAAAGTACCTTGTTTAAAACCATACTAATTGAGGAATACCACCAACGATCAAAAATAAAGGTTTATATTTTCATTATTTTTGATCGCCAGTTGTTGTATTTAAATTAAATCATAAACAACACATTATAAAAGAACACATGTAAAAAGAATAGGCTGAATTGTTTTACTTCAGGAATACCATCTGCTCATAAGGCTCTAGTATGAGGATTTATAATTAGTGATACCTCGGATAGTATCCCATTCATTAATAAAACAAATTATGCTCATACTGTTCCCCAAATATTCTATATTCCAACATGTTTTACTAAGGCAGACTAGGCTTTCTTCAAATTAGTTAGAGTTAGTGACCTTTGCTTATAAGTGAAGCATATCTTTTATTTGAAAAAAAATTATTGAGATATTATGGTTTGGAGAAATTAAAAAGTTCATGCTCAGCTAAACACATTGCAGTTAATTTTAAAATCATACCATTTAGTAATAGAAATGGTTGAGTGACTTTTTTTTCTAAAGACCCCAATCTGGGGAAGGCCAATTTATAGATAAACAGCTCATACCAAGCAGCACTGCCTAGCTAATGCCTAACCTGTGGGAGTAGGCTGGAAGCAGCTCAAACTAATGAGGTTAACCTACATGATCTAATCACCCAGACTGAGCAAAATAAACCAGACAAAAAGCACAGAGCTAGAAAGCGTTCAGTTTATTTCTACATTTTTTTTGGCTTTTGTATGCCAGAGCGTCACCAAGTAGATGATAGGGTGTCCTTTTCCCACTGTTTGTAGGTCTCCTTCTGATCCATGTGTTGCATTTCTCCCAGTTAACTGACTGGCCGCAGGCAAGATGCCTTTTAATACAAGATCAGCACAAGATATTCTAAAGAGTCACTTCCTGTTGGCGGGGTGGCTTCCTCTCATCTTCCTCTTACCCAAGCCCCCAATGGAAGGGAAGCCTGAAAGGCTGCAGCCAAAGACACAGCTTGCCCTCCTTCCCTCAGGGAGGCCTGCAAGATCCCTAAGCTCCCAAAGAGGCTCAAAATTCTCCTTGTAATTCACCAGTTTCTAAAGATTAACTCCATTGCAAGCTGGCCGAGGTGGCATGCACATGCCTGTAATCCCAGCATTTTGGCAGGCCAAGGCCGGATCATGTGAGGTCAGGAGTTCAAGACCAGTCTGATCAACATAGTGAAACCCTGTCTCTACCAAAAATACAAGAATTAGTTGGACTTGGTGGCGCACACCTGTGATTCCAGCTACTTAGGAGGCTGAGGCAAAAGAATTTCTTGAACCCAGGAGGCAGAGATTGCAGTGAGCTGAGATCCTACCACTGCACTCCAGCCTGGGTGGCAGAGCAAGAATTTGTCTCAAAAAAACAAAAAAAGAAAAGAAAGAAAGAAAGAAAGAAAAGATTGACTCCATTGTAAAATCCTTCCAGAGATGTTTAGAGTGAAAAGGGTTGCTGAGAAAACCAACTAACCTTTACCACTTAGAAAAAAATGCATACTTTAGTGAAATTTGGAGCAAGATCTCTCTGAAACGACTGCATGTTACTTTTGGTCATATTCCTTGTGGGGTCAGACAAATCTCGTTTTATGCAAAGTAGAAATATACTGTTTCATTATAATATATGCTGTTCATTATAAAAGCCTTCAGACAAGAGAGGAATCTATAGAGAAAAAAAAGTATCGTTCTACCACTCAGAGGGAACAACTGTTAGTGTTTTGATATAAAGCTTTCTAGATATTTTTTATGACTTTAAAAACATTAAGATAACTATAGGGCATTTAAAAAAATAGAATCAGATTATACACACTATTTTATAATGTGCCTTTTTACAGAATTTCTATATGAACTGGTATATATTTTCATTATAATTTTTAATTGCTTCTTAGTATTCATTGTATGTATACCATTTATGGTTAGTTCCATTTTTTCATGAATAGAAGGATGTTCTTATATGTTCTTTTACCTCTGTTTTCTTGTTTTTTTTTTGCTATGAATACTTAAAATGGAATTGTTGTGTAAAGGAGTATGTACTTTTGTAATTTTGATTATAATTACAATTTGATAATAATTTAAAACAGTTGTATCAATTTCCTTGCCCACTAATATTGTGGGTGAATGCCCATGTCTCCACACCATTAGAAGTCATACAGATTAAAGACTGGGTACAGTGGCTTACACATGCAATCCCAGGACTTTGGGAAGAAGCGGCAGGAGCATCACTTGAGACCAGGAGTTGGAGACAAGCCTGGGCAACATAGCAGGACCCTGTCTCGAAAAAAAAAAAAACAAATAGCTAGAAATGGTGATGCACACCTATGGTCCCAGCTACTCCAGAGGCTGAGGCAGGAGGATTGCCTTAGTCCAGGAGTCCAAGGCTACAGCGAGCTATGATCCACTGCACTCCAGCCTGGGTGACAGTAAGACCATGTCTAAATAAATAAATAAATAAAGTTAAAGAAATCATGCAGGTTAAAAAAAGAAGTGATGTTTCAGAGGGCACACACTTCATGAGTTTAAGGTCATCAAAGGCTTTTTGTGGGTGCAGAGGAGTTCCTAACTGCTGAAAAGGTCACTGTCTTCTAATTAGTGCATTCATTTGTTTGCCTGAGAGTATAACTCAGGCTTCCCTTTTATAGACCTCTGTCATATTTTAAACTCTCCGCATGTGTTCCTTTTCTTTAGATTGAGGAAGACACGTGGCAGAAATACTACTTGGAAGGAGTCTCAAATGAAATGTACACAGAATATCTCTCCAGTGCCTTCGTGGGTCTGTCCTTCCCTACTGTTTGTGAGTAAGTGACCATTAACTGGATGCTCTTTGGCTCTCAGGGATATTGAATGTGCCCCTTGAAAGAAAGCCTCCCAACTCTGCTCAGCACAGTTGGAGCAGTCACCAATTGCCGAGGGCGTCCCCTGTGCTTGGCCCCATGTGATGAACAGGAAGGGGGGTCATCACATGGTCTCCGCCTGGGGAATTTCCACTGGCCCCACTTTTCTCAACAGGCCTGATAGTCTTGGACTTGGATGCATTGTTTATGCAAACTTATGAACTGCAGTTATCCTGTATGCCTCCTGTGATGTAGACACATTTATGAAGAGTGGCATGAAGCCCTATCTTTCTGATTCTAATAGGGCAAAACAAATCTTGCCAGTCCCTGAATGAAAGGAATTTTAATCTGTCTTCCAATCAAGTCTAATCATAGAGCCAACAGAGAAGCTACTGAAATAAAGCCTTTCAAAGTGTTTTCACCCTTTGCTGAGGAAATGTGGAACCAAATGTACAGAAGGAGGCGTTGAGCCCCTACATGGACAACTGTCATCTTATAATAAGTCTTAGCTTCTCTTTCCAATGGCTTGGCAGGATGGATCAAAGCCACCCACCATGGCCACTGCAGGTAGAATAGAGGTCACTTGGTGGGGGTGACCTCAAGAGCTCCAGGTGCCTGCCGTGAGCCATGACGGTGCCTCAGATTCCCCACTTAGAATCCTCATGTATGCAATCCCAGCACTTTTGGAAGCTGAGGAGAGGAATCACTTGAGGCCAGGAATTCAAGACTAGCCTGGGAAACACAGTGAGACTCTAGCTCTACAAATATAAGGGAAATTAGCCTAATGTGGCCGCACACACATATGGTCCTAGCTACTCTAGAGGCCAAGGAAGGAGGATTGCTTGAGCCCGGGAGGTTGAGGCTGCGATGAGCTATGATTACATCACTGCACTCCAGCCTGGGCAACAGTGAGACTATGTCTCTAAAATTTAAAAAAAAAAAATCTCAGATGTGGAGTTTAAGATGAATGGGGGCTTTGTGCCCTCTGAAAACACAAATTCCCTGAGAATGGTGAAACATTCAGCCTGATCTCTTGACACCTTCACAAAGGATTTGACAAGGCTGCTTCTCACTGGGAAGAATCAGGGGGATCTGGAAGCTCATTGGGCTGAGGAAGAAAAACCATTTGCTTGCACTTCCTGCCTACTTACAAACCAAAGCACCTTCCTGAAAGAGAGGTCTGAAGACATCGAAAGAAAACTGATCAGCCTTTACCATGAAGGAGAGGACAGTCCTGAGTGCCCTTGGCCTCCTCTGTGTCACGGTTTTCTTTCTGTATGCAAGAGGGAGGGAAGCGGACCATTTGGTGGCTTCCTGTTTACCTGGAGCCTCCTGTCACTGAACACAGCAGGTGCACTCTGTCAGCCCCTGGGCCCAGACCCTAAGCAATCCAAGATGGTTTGGCTGTTTACTGAAATTTCTCACCCTGTCTCTAAGCGAAAGTTTAAATGCTAAATGGACTGGAAAAGTGAATAGGTAATTGATTTGGAAGGAGTTATTTTCTGAAAATGGATGCCCTATTGTGACTCCGCTGTGAGCCTTTCTTTGAGAGTGATTTCTCTTTCTGCCACTGAGAGGAGTTAACCATTCAGAAGCATTGGGTTCTGGAACACTGAGGCTGTCCCAGGGGATCCCCTCTTCCTTGGAGCTTGGACTGTCTAGGATAGAAAGCCCCGTGGGAAAGCAGGCTTTTTAACAGAAGCAAATGAAGCCTTGTCTGTCTAATGTGGTGGTGGTCTGAGCACATAGCAGAGATGCTAGTGCCTGGTGAGGGCGTCTCCAGGGGTGTCGTGAAGCCCCCTTCCTTGGCTGTGTGGTTTCCCTGGCCTGACTGGTGTTTGTGTCTAACAGGCATGCTATTTCCAAACTCTCCTAGCCCTTCTTGCTTTCCCGCTCTTCTCTTACTCTGCTCTTGGGAACTGAGTTGGTTCCTCTTACAGGTGTTAACTTGCAGGGTTAGGACTGCTCCCACTACAGACTCTAACTGGGATACTCACAAGGTATGTTCAACTCACATAGTTGCCTAACATAGTGTCTAATTTCATAACAACTTGTTGTTGATATTTCAAAATAGTGGTATTTCACATAAAAAGTAGATTTCTGGCTTCTTTAGAAAATCTAATGTGACAGTGCAAGACCTGCGTTTCCTCTGAATGCTAACTGGCTCCAGTTTGATGTAGCAAATGGTTTAGAATAGTCATATAGTCACTCCTCCCTGATATCTTAAAGCAGGCCAGATTTGCACATAAATCCCATGCCTGGCCCTGTGGATCTGTGAGTTTGCCAACCTTGACCCACTGGGTGATGTGGAACTTCACTGGCCTTCAGCCAGCTCAAGAGCTGGTACTAGTAGCTCTATGAATATTTCCTTTGATTGATTTTCATATTTAGAACATGTCCCAAGGAGGAGACAGATTGTTGTCAGAGAATTTAGTATTTGCTCGGTAAAGCTTGTGATATATATATATATATATATATCTCCCACTTCTGATGTGAGTGAGAATGTGTACGACTTAGTGCTATTATTCGTTTAATACAATGATACAGCGGAGGTAGGAATGATCAATAAAGGAAGGACATTTAATGAGATTTAGGAACATCCCAAAACATTGAAGCTCTCCTCAAGCATTTGATTATCTGGAGGCTTAATTATCTGTGTTTTCTACTTTAAATTAAAGAAAAGCCATAACTCAAAGTTACCAGCAGTTTAATGATAACACTCTTCAATTCAGGTTAATTAAAGCACAGCCGTAATTAGAGGGTAGTGTTGTATATCACCGGGCTGGAACATCAGTATTTTCATTACAGTAAGAATTGGCTATTCAATTTCAAAATGACATAAAGGACGCCAAAATATATTTTAAGCTGGTTCACAGAGAAGAAAAAGAATTGGGGAATAGTCTGAGTATCATAAAGCACAGATAAAATATACAGATTTTCAGAGCAGTTTCTGTAATTATGCACTGCACTAAAACAATATGCAGCCAATAACATCTTAAAGCATGGAAAGAAATAAATTTGCTTTTTCTCTGTGCTGGCAAAGTGTCCCCTTGCAGAGTGGGACTGGGAGAGCTTGGAGTTTTCTCGGAAACTAGGAGAGTCATTCTATGAAAAGATATGGGAGCAGGCTGTAGGGGTGAAATTTGGGGTTGTTTCCTAAGAGAACAGGAAGGGGAGCAAAACAGGCAGTGGGAGCAGAAGGTTCTGCCACCCCGAAAGCTATCTCTATCAATATTTCAAGCCAAGAGATTCTCAGTGTAGCCTTTAGTCTGTGCCCAAAGGCCCAAGGGCCCTTGGCAAATCACTGGTGTAAGTCCGAGAGTCCAAAAGCTGAAGAACTTGGAGTCTGATGTTCAAGGGCAGGAAGCATCCAGCAGTGGAGAAAGATGAAGGCTGGAAGACTCAGCAAGTCTAGTCCTTCCACGTTCTTCTGCCTGCATTATCCAGCCACGCTGGCAACTGATGAGATAGTGCCCACCAAGATTGAGATTCTCCCAGTCCACAGACTCAGATGTTAATCTCCTTTGGTAACACCTTCACAGATACACCCAGGAACAATACTTTGCATCCTTCAGTCCAATCAAGTTGACACTCAATATTAGCCATCACAGGTGCTTACCCCCAATTTCCTTCTCTGAAATAGAAGCACTATGATTTATCTGTCAGTACTGGTTAATGTCTTTCCCCCCTCCCTCCTCCCCTCCTCTCCTTTTTCCTCTACCATTTATCTTTCCCATTGAATACAATAGAAGCACTTAGGAAGAAAGAAACACATTGTGAGCCAGATGTGTATCCAAGTTATATTTACTTTTAACCTTTAGGAAATTATCTTATTGGTTAATCACCAATTAACCAGATATTTAATGAATTGGGATATGTGCACCATTGTGACAGGCTTGGTGCCAATTCTAGGGGAACCTGCAACTAGATTTGATCAAATATATATGCATGAAAAGATCAATAGCAATACTTACAAATGCCAAGTAAAATATTCAGTTTCCCTAGGGTGGCTGCCTCCAGAGTTTATAGTTTGGTGAGGGAAAATAGTATGCATCCTCGGAGCGACATAGGTACTGACTGATAAGTGCCTTGGTAGGTGCGCACAGCTGGAGTACAGATGCTAGAGTTATAGGGACATCTCCCTGTAGGCTGGGGAGACCAGGGGGTGCTTCCTGGAAGAGATGACATTTGAGCTGTGCCTTGTTGGGAGTGTGGATTCAGATGGGCGAATAAAGAAGGGAGCGTGTGTTCTAAGTGGTAGCGAATCTGGAGTCTGGATGACATAGGACCATAGGGAGCTCTCTCAGCACCTAGGTCTCCAAGATTTTCCAGTTACCGCAAATTGCTTTCCTCTTTAGATGAGAGAAGGAGATGCATCAGATTTATTTTGACTTGTGATGTTTTGAGGGGGGATTGATAACAGGTTTTTTTTTTGTGAGCACTTGCAAAAGTGAGGGTGCACTCTCCTATCCCCAGGGAGGGCAGAGGGGAGAGGAGGGGCTGGACAAGGAGGAGCTGCAGAAAACCACAGGTTCGGCAGCTGGGCTGCTTCAAGAACACTTGTGTTCTAGGTTCTGAATCTCACAGTAAGCCTGTTAGTCAGTCATGCATCATTTGCAAAATATAAAAGCTTAATTGTATCTGGTTTTACAGCTCAGAGGGGATTAGGACAAAAGATGTATTTAAAATATGGCATGTGTCTCTCTCTATCCCTCTGCAGCTAATGGAGCAGTTAAAATTCAGATTTGATGTGGAGTATTTAATGCCTGGGTAACTGGGGAACTCCGATCAGATCTTCTTTAGCTGTGCTGAAGGGCAGGAGTTCTGTCCCCAAGCCCGGGGGCAAGTATGGATGCTACTGTGCTGGTTTAAGAGTGCAGGGGGGGATTCTCCATTCCCTCTTCTACCTCCCTGCACTCAGTGCTCCTCGCCCAAATCCAGAAAATCATGCTCTCAACCTGTGT